TACCAGAAGGGGTGAGATCTTTTACCGCCTCCGCCATCAAGACATTATATTGGTGACGTATCTGCAATAACATATTACTAATGTACCCCCCTGGTACAGTATCCTCCCCCCGGGTACTATACCAGAATTTCAGGCGTTCTGGTAAAAGACCCCGGGTACTAGAACCAGTGCTATACGGTAACTGAATTAGAAAATATAAAGAGCGAATAGGAATCGAAGGTTAATGAACTTGAATGTCTGAAACCGGAGGCTATATCGAAACCCGTAGTTGGTGGAGATGACAAAAAAATAATAACCAAGTCTGATCCCCATTGCTTCGCAATAATATTCTATCATTAGTGAACCTAGCAAAAGTCTCAGACAATATTTTGTAGGCGGAAAAAGTATGGACCAGGTTGAAAAAATTAATGGAAATGTTTCGACATATACCAGGTTTTTAAGCGCCTCAAAGAGGCATGATGAGATTACCGAACTACCAAAAAATGATACTGAGATCAACCCAAAGATAAATGAGGAAATTAATATTAGCGAAATTAGTGAGAATATTATACCAATCTCCAGAAATACCGAATATGACTCCTTACCTTGCACAGCCGGAAAGTAACATGTCCTCATTGATTGAATCGAATTCCCTGATTCCGATAGGAGGAATAGGAGCAATCCCTGTTGTGGCAAGCACTTTGATGTCACCTTTATGTTACTCACTTTGTTAATTATTGCGGTTATGATTGCTGAAGAGCGTGATGGAATGTGTCTTTCAACTGAATAATAGAACTCCGTTAATGTGGCGTTGTTCCAAGAACCATGTATTAGTATGGAGTGCTCCACTTTCTAGAATTAAAAATTTAGGACAATGGTGTCCGCAATATGAAACTTACTCTTGAGGTCACTAAACAAATTGCACTATTTAGGGGTGGAGAATGTCTATCGGAAATCGCACTTAGCCGAAATGGTAAATGTCTTTCAACTTCATATAGTAATTCTAAAATTCCGATGACGTGGAAATGCCATCAAGGTCATATTTGGAGCAGTCCGTTTCATAACATTAAAAATACTGGTACATGGTGCCCATATTGTACGGGTATTTATATTGCAAAACTAACCTTGAGGATGCAAAGGCAATTGCACTATCTAAGAGTGGGGAAGGCCTTTCGATTGAGTATAAAATATAGACGGACCGCTAACATGGCGTTGCCAATTTAACCATCAATGGCAAAATACACTTTACCACATTAAAAATAGAAAACAATGGTGTCCATGTTGCATTGCTCGTTATCAAACAATTGAGGATATGCGTAAACTCGCACAAGTAAAAAATGGAGATTGCCTTTCAGATCAATACTATAACTCGCAGTGCGTAAGAATAATCGGTTGCAAATGTTGTTTTTTTTAAAATTATGTAGACGTTATTTGTTAACGCATGATCCAGTGTCTTGAATATGCAATTGGTATGTACTATTTGCGATGTATTGTGCAAATGGCATAATCATGATGCACCGATTTCGTATAACACTTGTCAGATTGCAATTTAATTGTGCGCAATAAAGCATAATGGCAGCGATAAATTTGTATATACAATATTGTCATTATTATGCTATTTGTGTCATCACGAAATCGAACATAGTGTGAGAAATGATTATTCTTTTCCCAAAATAGGAAGTTTGAGAAATGGTGGTGGGAAATAACGTTTGCTGTATGCATCGACCTCTTGCAAACCAAGTCATCGACGAATAATTCGGGAGAAGATTACTAAACGATCAATCGCCTGAAGAACGTGCTATGAGCATTGGAGAATGATTTTTTCGTTCCCAAGAGCATTTGTTTAATAAAGACGAACCTGTCAAACTTGCGACAGAATACAAATGTTAAATAATAATTTAATGCTTATTATATATATTAAATCAAACGTACAGTGTGACACGAAATTATTGATAATGAAAAAAGGGGTTATTGCCAGCCAACGACTGTACCAATCATTATTATTAATATCTTGTTTGATAGCTTAAAAAAAGTACATTTATTTAAATAGTTTTAATATGGAATTCGTTCCCCATTTGTTTCTATGACAAGCCTACATCTATCTCTCATCGAATTAACTAACATAGTTTTCGGAATCGAATTCCACCATAAACTCAGTTAATTCATTACAGTTTTTTGGCATGCGTTTTTCTACATTTCTTTTGACAATATTCCAGAGGTTTTCGATGGGATTAAGATCAGGGCTATTAGAAGGCCAATCAATAACTTTAGGAACATTTTCCTGAAGAAATAATTTGGCAAGGCGGCTTTTTCATAACCAGAATTATGCATATGTCACCGAATCGTTTCCCGGGAGACATCCACACCATTGTTGGACATTTTTGTTACCAAAGTTCTTAGAGAAATGGTTGGATCGCGTCGTACATACTGACCGATCGTCCTGGATGCGCATGCTGTGATAATTGATGGTCGACCAGCACCCTTCTTGTGCTTTACAGTACCAGTTTTTTTTCAACTTTCGAAGGTTGTAATAGATAGTTGGGATGGGAATCATGGTGAGAGTATGTATTTCTTTTGCAGAGCGTACACCTTGGTTCCAATAATGTAATACGGTTTGGCGTTGTGTCTCAAGGTCGGTTGCAGTCATTTTGGATTAAAAATTTACGGAAGTAAAAAAGTTAAAGAAGGAATAAAAGGGAATTTAATGTTTACCGCGAATCAATACTTTGTTTTTATTTTTTATATGACGCGTTTTGGTTCCAAATTGGTTGAGATATTCGCGTTTGAATCGCGTTAAATCTATTATCAATAATTTCGTGTCACACTGTAACCGAGGTATGATAATAATAGTAATAGTAATAGATATGGGAATTTTGATCTATTACATATAAGGTAATGTTTATACGAAGAAAAAAATTTTGTAATAACGGCTATACATTAAGAACTTGGTCATTTTTTACACGGTTAAACACAATAAATATATCAAAGTTCTTTACAAATACGATATATCAAAATAGTTAGTATTATATTAATGCTATGTTAATCATCAATTAATAAGTCATAGCTGTAACATTAATGCTCAAATTTGTATAATCGTTGGTTAATAAAAATAACGACAGAAGATATTTTGATTAATGAAAGCGTAGAGAATTAACAATTTTGAGTATATTACATTTGCGAGATTATGAAATATCGTATTATTAATGCAGAATCGCTACAAAGTAAAAAGTTCCATAACTATGGCGATAACAACCAAAGTCTTTTATGGCATATACGTATAAAAAATAACTAAGTTCTTAATGTATAACTGTTGTTACAAATGCATGAAAAAAATCTTCTCTGATTCACCTCTATAGTCACATGCCCGCACTTTTTTTTTGGAAGATTGTTGCTGTCTTCGTTATGTACTTCATTTGTAGAAACGATGTTACCGAGGTATCTTGCGAAACGGGAAAAGCAGTAGGCCACACAGACATTTCTGGTATATCATTTATCTGTAAACGGTTGGCAAGAGAAGAATAGCTACGGAGATATGGGTTATTTTGTTGAAGCCAACTTACAGCAGGCTGTAAAGAATGATGGTACCATTACTGTCATTAGATAAAGTGTCCAAATTTTCGAGAAACGCTCCAAGCATTCTGAATAAAGTGCCAGAGTTCTAAGATTTTTAGAAAGGCCCATTATACCCACTATAGTACGATATTCCATATCTAAATGCAAAAAGAGATATGACATAACAAATCAGATACAGCCAATAGTAACAGTAATAGCCATATTTTTCCTGAGCTGAGGATCTTTTATAACCAATTCCATCCATATCTGATGGACTGAAATCAGTTCCCAAATCCTTGTGCGTCTCTTCAAATTCGTCAAGTAATTTTTGGGCTGGCGGCGGCAGTTCGACTTCTTTAAAAAGTTGCTGACAGTTAGCAACTTTAGAACGTCTTTTGGCAACTTATTCATAATATGACGGTCGGCGCACACATGGGTATATTCCACCGTTGCACTCTTTGTATGACCACATAGTAACCAGTATTACTGGCCGTCCGACCTTCCATTGATTCCTTCCAACCACATTTAACGTTAATATATTCCAATGCATATACGTCTGATCTCAATACGCGACATTCCGACTCAATATGGGTCACATTGACTGCTGATATTTTCGCAATATATTAATATAGCATACTCCACGGTCCAGTCTATAAGTGATTGTGGTTCCTTGGGTCGCGATCTTCTTAGAGCACCACTCGTCGGCTGGGCGGTTGAAATAAGCTATATCCTTCTTAGTAGATATATTAAAGGTTTGGGAGTCCATATAATTGCTTGATGGGGTTTTTGTAGTCAAAATTATAGCTACTACTATGTATGTCATCGAAAACACAATGTGCTGTTTACTTTAATTTATGTCAAAACGTTCACGTTGTCTGGTTTTGTTATAAAGTCCGTTACATTTTTGGATTGTAAACAAACAATTGTAAGGCTCACGTGAGGAATAACCACAAAATACCCGTTGCTGAAATTTATTTTCGACAGTGGTTCGCAGTGCAAGGAAATATGACTACTTCAAAATTACACACAACAACCTCTGTTTCGGAAGGAAAACGGTTACAAGCTTCTGCTTCTTATAACAATGTAGATGGCATACTTCATTTAGTGAACAAAAAGCTAATATTTACAGCTAAAGGATCCAAGAGTCCTATGCTAAGTGTCCCTGTGAGTGATTTAAAACGTAAGTTTAATGCAACCCGCAGAAGACGCTGTGGTAGGAGCTTAATATAGCCTTACGACTCCTATTAGACTCCAGTTAGTTCCTGATCTGCTTTTACAAAGTGTGCACACAAAGACTCGTAATTTGCCCCCCTCACCCATCGTTACTTTAGTACAATAATGTGCAATACTTATCTTTCGCATTCGATTTGTTAATTTAACTGTTTGGATTTATATTATCTTTCTTATCTAATAGAATTCTTCGTGAGCAAACCAGACAAGCCAGATCCAAAACTAAAAATAAAACTGTTTTCTGACGTCGAGCATATGTTTGTCTTCACCACATCAAACGCAAAAGAATCCTTGGGCAAATTTAAAATCGAGCTTCAAACGCTCATTTCAAAACAACGTTCAGGACATGCATCAAATGCATCATCGCGTGTGACTTCAGCTGCACCATCTCCCAAACCGAGAAATGGTAATGCGCCATCTCCATCATCTGGTGCGTCATCACCAGCATTAAGAAAGACAGCACCGACTGCAGAAGAAATTGCATTGAGGGTAGAATTGTTGTCAAGAAATGCGGAGCTTGCCAAATTACATCAAGAGCTGGTCGTCGGACGATATATTACAGAAGAGGATTTTTGGGAAACTAGAAAAGTAATAATTTAAATTTTGAAGCTGAACAAGACTGGAATATGGATCATACGGCTGAAATTATTATCAAAAATAATTAATGTCTACTTATCGTAATTGTAGCACCTATTGCGAGACGAGGCAGCAAAAACCGAGCAGAAGAAGGGTCGTTCATCAACT